CCAGTCAAATTGGCTTATACAATCACCATCAATAAGTCCCAAGGTCAATCACTGCATTTGCAAAAATCTTACTTCACCCACGGACAGCTTTTCGTAGCATTTTCAAGAGTTGGGGCAGCGAGTAATGTGAAAATCGTTATAGAGGACAACAATCGACATTTAAGTACATAGGCACTAAACGATTTACTCGCAACGTAGTATATTTCGAAATTTTAAACGCAGCTAATGATGAACAACGATCATTAAGAACTACCGATTATACGCGAAGAATATTATTGCGAGATAACGATCTTGAACAAGACGATGAACACCGACTGCGTTGTAATCAACAAATTACAAAATTTTGAAATAAATATTATGTTGGCCAATATTGACACAGATCAATATCTAAACATCGACAATACTACGACAAACAGAAGCGACGAACAGTTTGTAAAAGAAGATCTAATACGGAAAGGTGCAGTACCATATCGTACAAAAAGAAAACCCGAACAGCGTGTAGTTCACGAAGACCAACCAGGTACATCGTGACAAATTAGGAAGCAACTAGCGTACATGAAGACCAAATGAATTTGTTCTTTTTGCTAATTCTGTTGACGATAAAACCAGGAGCTACAAGTTTCGAAGATCTGCGAACATTAAAAGACAGTACAGTTTGTGAAACGTATAAACGTATAAGGAAGTTTTTAGAATTATTAATTACATTCGAAATACCGATGAATTTGACAGAGCCATGGGAGAAGCTGACCTAAAATGTCATCCTAGAAAATAACGACGATTATTTGCATTATATTGTTGTATAATTTTCGACGAAGGTGTTTTAGAGTTCGGAGCTCTTTGGTCTAACTATAGGGATAATCTTATTAAGGATTATATTGTATTGGAACATATAAATAAGGCACACGTCGAACCAAAAGTTTTAGAATACGTTAAAGAACTTGTAAGAAGAAATAGACCACGAATGACTCTGCCTTCTTTAGGTATTGAGGCCGCGGCGAATAATTAACAAAACGTCGATATTAACGAAGAAGAAAATGAAGATAGAAGAACAAGGAAAAATCTGTATAGAGACGATAACTACGACGATTTCTCAAACTTTGAACGACGACAACAACTAATAAATAAAGCCAAAGTAGACAAAACCTACAGCCCCATGCACCTGAATTT